CTGGCTTGACTTTGAAGGAGCTGGGAGTGGCCATGGCCACAAAGAGTCGGAAGCGACTGAACGAATAAACAACAACAATGTTGGCTGGATTCTTGCAGTGGCTGAAGATGGATGATATTTCAGTGATTTCTATCGGAAAGCAGGTTCTGCTGTGGGCAGCAGCAGGATCCCATTGCTAGCTGCCTTTTCCTGTTTTTCATGGAGTCTTGGATGAATTACTGAACATCAGCTCTTTAACATTATTAGATTTGCATCTGCACTGTAGAATGAATGCAGTTTGATCCCACATGAATTGCAATGGCTCAATGCTATGGAATCAAGGGAGTCATTTGGTGAGGCACCAGCCGTCTTTGACAGAGAAGGATAAGGACCTTGCAAAACTACAATTCCCATAACTCCATTCCATTGAACCTTGGCAGTTAAAGTGGCCTCGAACTGTATTAATTCTACACTATAGATCAGGGCTTCCAGGTATTTTGGACTTCAACTCCCACCATTCCTAACAGCCTCAGGCCCCTTCCTTTTCCCCCTCATTTGAGGGGGGAAAGGAAAGGGCCTGAGGCTGTTAGGATGTTAGGAATAGTGGGAGTTGAAGTCCAAAACACCTGGAAGGCCCAAATTTGCCATTGCCTGTGTTATAAGGTATGGATATCGATAGCAAAATGGCAGGGTGATGGATTCTCCACAGTGTGGTATTCATTGTTTTCTATCTGATGGACCTCTGGACACTAACTAAGAAGGGTCAAATTGTAATAGAGCATCCGACACGCATCCGAAGAGCCCAATGTGCACCGAAGCACTTTTGATACTGGATTCTGGGCAAAGGGTTATGTCTGGCTTGGCTTCCATACTTAGTCTAAAGAGCAGATGTGGAGCTGACATCACGAGGTCTCCATGTGTAACGTTATTGGGTTTTATTAACAGTTGTAAGGTTGCCAGACTTTTTAAATGGCCTCGGTGTCTGTATTTTTCATAACAGCTTCATTTGCAGATGTCAGTTGTTGACGATCTTGTTTATTACCAAATTGCAGTTAGTGCCATTTCAGCAGAAGTCTGCACAGTAAGGAATCACGTGAAGTTCTTTTACTTTTCCTAGTAGTTGGCAAGGCTTAGAATTTCTTAATAAACATGGGATTCCTCAACCTGTAATGAGTGGCTGAGTAAGGGTGCATCTACACTAGCATTTCTCAACCAGGGGGTCGGGAGGGGGTTGCCAAAGACCATCAGCCAACACAATATTATCTATTGGTCATGGGGGTTCTGTGTGGGAAGTTTGACCCCATTCTATCATTGGTGGGGTTCAGAATGCTCTTTGATTGTAGGTGAACTATAAATCGCAGCAACTACAACTCCCAAATGTCAAGGTCTATTTTCTTCAAACTCCACCAGTGTTTATGTTTGGGCATATTGAGTATTCATGCCAAGTTTGGTCCAGGTCTATCATTGAGTCCATAGTCCTTCTGAATGTAGGTGAACTACAACTCCAAAACGCAAAGTCAATGCCCACCAAACTTTCCAGTATTTTCTGTTGGTCATGGGAGTTTTTTGTGCCAAGTTTGGTTCAATTCCATCGTTGGTGGAGTTCAGAATGCTCTTTGATTGTAGATGAACTATAAATCCTAGCAACTACAACTCCTAAATGACAAAATCACATCCACCAGTATTCAAATTTGGGCGTATAGGGTATTTGTGCCAAATTTGGTCCAATGAATAAAAATAAATCCTGCATATCAGATATTTTCCTAACAGAAACAAAACTACAGCTATGAAGTAGTAATGAAAATAATGTTATGGTTGGGGGTCAACATAACATGAACTGTATTAAGGAAGGTTGAGAAACACTGATCTACACTGTGGAATGAAAGCGATTTGAACACCACATTAATACCCTGGCTCAATGCTTTTGGAATCCTGAGAGTTGTAGTTTGGTGCGACACCAGCCCTCTTGAGCAGACAAAGCGAAGCTAGAGCTCTTTTCTAGACCTCTGCCAAGCAAAGGAGGAGACTTCCCTGCAATGGAAAGCTAGGCATTTATTTCAATTCTAGGAAGTAACATCTTGGTTTCCAGGCTAGGTCTACACTGCCATCCAATCCAGTTTCTGAATCCAGATTATCTGCTTTGAACCGAATTATATGAATCTACACTGCCCTATAATGCAGTTCAATGCAAATAATCTGGATTTAGAAACTGGATTATATGGAAGTTTAGATGGGGCCTCAGACTCCATGGAGTGTTTTGAATTTTTGACTGTGACCATGTTGTTTACACATCAGAAGAAATCATAGTATCACTTGCTGAAATCTTGTTGTGATGCAGAGTCCTACCTTTGCCAACAACAAACCACAAACTGAAATTATGTTTTGTCTTTAGCTTGCAAATCCACAAATTGTTTCTATCTTGGCGTGTTGTGTCTTCTGATGCATTGCTTCCATAACCGAAACTGGCAACAACAAGAAACAGAAACACACCAGGGAAAAACACAGACAGGGGAAGGAGGAATCGTGATTGGTTGGGTTATCTACCATGCAATTCATGGATAACACAAATCATGGCTTATTATGCTATATGAATGCACTAGTTTGGTTAAAAGCTCTGTCCAGAATAAACAGTCACCTTCACAAAACATGTCTTTGGTGAAGGCTACAGTTTATAATATGCAGATGCCTTGAAATGAAAGAGGAAGAATTAGTTTCCTAGTAGTGGAAGGTAGGAAGATACTAGTATGTGTTGGCTTGGCTTGCCTTTGCAGTCACAAACCTCAATTTGTACAATTACGATCCTCAAACCATGGTTTAGTACTAGCTATTGATTCCTATGGCCTTGTGGCAGTGAATCTGCTTTGGGTTGTAGTCTGAACTATACAAGAACTACCCAAGGCTTAGTTTCTACAAATAATATCCTCAAGTCATGGCCCAGTACTAGTTGTTGGAACCTACTGTATTAGGCGGGTGTATCCACTTTGGGTTTTAGTCCAAGCTATAAAAGAACTACCTAGTGCTCACCTTGTAGACTATTTTCAAGCCACGGTCTAGTGGTCACTCCGAGTCTTACACCGAACTATAAAAAAACTACTCAAGTTTCGGTTTGTAGGCATACTATCCTCAAGCCATGGCCTAATATTTGCTGTTGGTTCCTATGGCATTGGGCCAGTGAATCCACTTTGGGTTATAGTCTGAACTTTAAAAGAACTACCTATGTTGCTGAACCTGATTTGGGGCCAGGGTTAACTGACCAGGTCTATAAAAATTCACAGCGATTTTCCATCTCCCCCAAGATATGGAGGCCCATAATTCCCCATAGATCTCCCCAAATGCTGACTTTCTGGGGTTTTGAGAAGACCGGCCCACAAGCTATCAGGCGAGACTTGTTAAAATCCCTGCCCTCAAGTTCATGGCTGTTATTAGCTAATAATAACAGCTGCCTTTTGATTCCGGGACGGTGGAGTCGACCGCGATCTGAGAACAAACTCTTGGCCCTGAGGCCATGGAGGAGCCGCTCCGAGACGGCACCCAGGCACCCAAGGTGGGGCTGCAAAGGGATTTCCATTTGGTTACGTCCCCTCCGGCAGCAGAGATCTCCATGTACTCTGCAACCTGCCCTCTTTCCCACCGGCTGGAAAGGAGGAAAGCTCCGGGGAGTCTCTTCCTATGTCTTTGATTTGCTCTCCTCATGGCCCTGGTGGGACGGTGGGAAGGTTTTGCAATTTTGAATACATACCCCAAAGCCCTCCAAGCCAAAGAAAACTGGGAGATCTTTATACTGCGTAATAAAATATTAGGTCTCTTCTATACACACTTTGTTACTATAGGTGAGGCGATTCATGACTACCAATATTTCACATCCCTTTGCATAAACCATGTTGCCCATTTGAACATGGGAAAAGGTTTTCATTTTGTAGAGTCTAAATGAGATGCCAAAAGAACCCTATATTTGGGGGTCTGAGCTCTTCAAGAAGGCAGCTATGAATATGGAAGTTATGGATATGGTATATGGGTTGCTGTGAGCTTTCGGAGCTCTATGGCCATGTTCCAGAAGCATTCTCTCCTGACGTTTGATCTATATCTGTGACAGGCATCCTCGGAGGATGTCTGCCATAGATGTGGGTGAAATGTCAGGAGAGAATGCTTCTGGAACATGGCCATACAGCACAAAAAACTCACAGTAACCCAGTGATTCCAGCTATGAAAGCCTTCAACAACACGATATGGTATATGTTGGGGTTTGGTTCCAGGAGACCCAAATCCAGGGATGCGCAAACCCAATTATGTTCAATGTTAGCGATCCTACAATAGGATTTAAAAAAAAAATAAAACAAATATAAAGGGCCTTTGTAAGCCGCATCGAGTCCTTCGGGAGATGCTAGCGGGGTACAAATAAAGTTTAATAATAATAATAATAATAATAATAATAATAATAATGGGCCAGCGAAACAGTACTGGGGTTGGAAGCAAATTGGAAGCCAATGTACTTCTTGCAAGAACAGTGTTATCTGTTCTCCAAAATATCTCTCTCACGCTGGTCTCACGCTGGTCTGGTTTGCAGCACCGGCTGCAAACAATTTCCAAGGGCAGCCCTACATTTAATACATTACAGTAGTCAAACCCCAGCTACTCCATAACCAGTGGCATGTTTAACAAACACAAAGCAGGAAAGAAGCAAGGCTGGGTGTTTCAGGTGACTGGGTTCTTGCACATCTCCCACTTCTCTATCATTTCATAATATTTCTGAAGAACTTTTCCAGGGTTTTGCTCATGTTGAAGATTAGTAACTAAATGCTGAGACTGTCTCACTGTGTACTCACAAGTGGGATGCAAATGTGTGTATGCAAATACATCTCTCTGTGTGAGAGAGAAAAGAAAGAAAGAAAGATAGAAAGAAAGAGTCATAGTTAGCAATAGAGTGGGAGCCAGAAACCAGGGGTGCCTCTCCAAGTTGAGAACGATTACTTTCTTGGATTCTCATACCCTAACCAACTTACTCTTTTTCATGTTCCCACTAGTTTCAGGTCGGTGCGCCTTCTGAAGAATGATGGGATGGGCTTCCAAAAGTTCTCCTGCATGAATGAAGATGAGGCTTGGAAAACTTACCTGGAGAACCCTCTGACAGCGGCCACCAAAGCCATGATGAGGGTCAACGGAGACGACGAAAGCGTGGCCGCCCTGAGTCTCCTCTGTGACTATTACATGGTATGGGAAGCCACTCCTGGCATCAACAAAAGCCCTGCTGTAGCTTGACATTAGTTGCCATGCTTTGATGTTCTCTTATCCCAGTTTCAATCCTCATCACACTGTCCAACCGTAAGCAGAAATGCTCAATCTGTGGTTATCGGTAACTAGCTTTATCTGATTTGGACGCAGGGTCCAAATATCCATCACAAAAGCTTTTGTATTGGGAGAGCTTGTCCTCGGATAAGGTTTGCCAAGTGGATTACAGGAAATGGCTCCTGTAAGGGTTTACAATGTGGTGCGTCAGCGGGTGTTTTGAAAATGATTGATAGATTGATAGATGGATGGATGGAAAGATAGATGGATAGATAAATATTTAGAAATATTTGACATGTATGGCCAAATGCATCGCCAAGTGCACCAGCATCTCAAACGTTACCAATGGGGAGAGCTAGGAAAGACTGCAGTGTTTGCTTTTGCCTGAGACAACTGGGAAGGGCCGAATGTTTCCTCTGGTTCTCCTCTTCTTTCTGTTAGGTAAAAGTAACTTAATGTCCCCTGCCTCAGATTAAAGGCCCTTGAATTTCCCCAAACAGAGTCTTTAGATTGCTTAAAGGTTCAACAATGTTCTTTATTAAGGAAAACAAACAGGTACTTTAAAGCTTTCTTAACAGTCTATAGGCTCTTTCCATCTTGTCCACAGGGAACAGCACTATCTTCATAACTGTATACTAATTAATGGGAAATCCTTAACTTCTAATCTGGGCAGTCTGTCTTTGCCTCTGTTGGCGTGGAGCCCCTGCACCTGGTACCAACTGCGTCTGGCTTCCGCGAGTGACCCTTACCAAGCAGAGCTTTGTAGACTTCCAAGGGAAAAGGAGTTCAGGTTTCGGTGATGGCTGGCTGAAGTCCCTCAGCAAAGGAGCTGTAAGGCTGTATAACCTCGGCCAAGCTGTGGGCTGTATATCTCCCCGGCCAAGCCATAGAAGACGAAGCTTTCTACAGGAGCTCTTGGTATTATGTCCTGCATGAAAGCTTCTCTGTGTGGACTGAACCCAAACTGGCTCCTATTCCCTCCAAAACCCAAAAAAGGGGGCGGGACCAGGGAACCTAACTATAATTGATGGGTGGCTTGCCCTATGATTGCAGCCAAACGAAGCCACCTGTCTGCAGAGTCCCTGAAACTTAGGACTACAACAAACATTCAATGCAAAGCAAACCAAATTGGAGCTCCTGGTACAGCTGTACCTGCACAGGATGACAAAGGGTTAACTGGGATTATTCCTGCCAAATTGGGACAGTTGGCGGACGTGCTGTACTGGGCCTTTAAATCAAGTTCGATTGACAATCTCTTCCAAGGCAACAAATGGGTTGCCAATAACATAACCTTTTGTAGAATTTGAGTCACCTTTCACCATCACAGCGTTCCCATGTCCTAACTTGCCTCTGGCGAGATTTACCGGAAATATTCATCTTGCAGAGAAACCTTGCTTCCACCTTTTCAGAGAACTTAAAATTCCCAAGAATTTTGGAGTAGAAGGTTTTGTTTAACTAGTTTAGGTCTCTAATTGATCAAACGTCTCAACTAGTTGCGGTCTTCAAGTAAAGAATGATTTCCCTTGAACGTGTATGCATCCACCAATAGGCAGCCACTGATCTTAACAAAGAGACTTCCTCATAAGAATCTTTAGCAATATGTTGGCAGTGTGGTTGTGCTTATTATTCATGGAGAGAAGTTGTTTTTTCTGGCATTGGGGTGGATGGTGCAGGAATTGACATTAAAATGAAAGTGGGAACGACAACAGGATCTCTTTCAATAAATGGAGTAGTGTCCATTGGCAGCTGGAAGTCTGACACTCCGCAAAACAGTATTTCTTTCTTTCTACTTTTGCAGATTCCGAAGGAGAAACGGTATGTCCCATCCGGAAACACAGGGCGCAATGACATTGGAAAAAGGTGAGAAAACATTTTTTGTGCCATATTTCTCAAAGCTTTGCAAAGGATCAGCTTGGGGCAGAGGAGACTAGCTGGCTCCCTTATGTGACATCTTCATTTGCAAAGGATACTGGTTTCCATGAAATAAAAGATATGCAGACTCTTCTTTTCACGTATGAGGACTGCATTTATCTTTTCGTAACAATCATGTTAAGCGTTGCCCGCTCTTGCTGCTTTGAGTCTCTGTTAAGAGATAAAAAGTAGCATATAAATACATATAATTATAATGAGCCAACAGTCATGCAGCAGATTAAAAAGCCAATGGGATTTTGGCCTGCATAAATAGGAGTCTAGTGTCTAGATCAAGGGAAGTCATTCTACCTCTCTATCCTGCCTTGGTCAGACCACACCTGGAATCACACTGTGTCCAATTCTGGGTGCCACAGATGAAGAGAGATGTTGACAAGCTGGAGCGGTGTCCAGAGGAGGGCAACTAAAATGATCAAAGGTCTGGGCAAGCCCTATGAGGAGTGGCTTAAAGAGCTGGACATGTTTAGCCTGCAGAAGAGAAGGTTGAGAGGAGACATGATGAGGGCCACGCATAAATATGTGTGGGTTAGTCATAGGGAGTAGGGAGCAAGCTTGTTTTCTCCTGCCCTGGAAACTTGGACACAGAACAATGGCTTCAAACTACAGGAAAGGAGATTCCACCTGAACATTAGGAAGAACTTCCTGACTGTGAGAGCTGTTCAGCAGTGGAACTCTCTGCCCCAGAATGTGGTGGAGGCTCCTCCTTTGGAGCCATATAAACAGAGGCTGGATGGCCATCTGTTGGGAGTGCTTTTCCTGCTTCTTGGCAGGGGGTTGGACTAGAAGTCCCACAAGGTCTCTTCCAGCTCCATGATTCTATCACCATGATCTCAGGGTTTGGCTCCAAGTCTCCAGTGTCCATGGATGATCTCCAGGTCAAAGGGTCCACATTTCCTCATGTTTGAAGCGTTCGGCTCAAGAGGAAAGGACTGTGTACAAATGTCCAGCTCAGATATTAAAGTAGTATGAATGGCAACAGTTTGCAAGGCTTTGCTAATGTGTTCTTACAATTTGCAAAGTTTCTCCAGAGGATCTATAAATGTAGTTAACTCCCAAACTTCCTTTTCATCCGTATTAGTGCCAAGACTCACCGTCCGCTCTGTTTTTCATTTAACTGGATAATATGGTAGTGTAGACTCATTCATGCAGTTCAATCTGTATTATATAAGTCGACACTGACCAATCTAATGCAGTTCAAACTGCATTATATGGCAGTATAGATGAGGCCTTAGAGGGAATAATCCTCCCATTTCACGTGGCTTTTTTTAGCTTGTTTGTGTTTGGATGACAAATGGTGACGACTGTAGCCAGCAAGGACTACACAAAGTTTAATGACAACATCAGAGTCCATTGTGGCTGTGGCTGATGGGAGTTGTAGTCTAACCCATCATCGCCGAAGAGCACTAAATTGGAGAAAACAGGCATAAAGGATTACTGACATCAATTGCTCAAGCAGTCAAATTGCAGGATAATATTAGAAGCACCTCCTTTCTTCATCCCTGTTTGCAAGCAAGCAAAGGAGTCAGTCCTTTCCTGGCTTAGAAGGTGAAGCATCAACCAGCCTTTTATGAACACGCTGCAGCGAGTCAGAAATAGCTCTGTGAGGCACATAGCAGAAGAGTACACACAGTCCAGGGTTTTGGAACAGAACTGAAAGGTGCCGATGGGCCATTTATTTTGGGAGGGTGATCTCAAAGGTCTGGAAACCAAGGAGGATGAAAGGGAGAACACGGCTTGTGCTGGAAGCAGTTGAAACAACAAGACTATGCTTATCACACCGAGTCCAAAAAGACCACACCCTGCTAGTTCTCTCTGTCCTTCATTAATACCAAAGAGGGCCTCTTTCTTTCGGGATTGCAATCCACTTGTCTCCCAAGAGAATTCTTCTTTCCAATTCTTATTATAGAAAGTGGGGTGGAGGCGGTTAAACGAGCTCAGCCGAGCGCAATCCTTGCCCGCTCCCCTTTTAGCAAGATTCGGACCTTCTTGAGCTCCCTCCTTAAGGGAGGGGGCCTCTCGAGGTCTTCGAAATGCCTAGGGGATTTGCGGTCACCTTCGCCTTCAATCCGGTTGAAGGTGGGGAGCCAAAGCTCAACCTTGCCGCTACAATGCTGGTCCTCCCTGGGAGAGCTCTCTCTCAGTGAGGCATCCCTGTCGCCATTCCCACTGGCAGTCTTGCCATTCCCACCGGTTTCTGATTGAATTCCTTCTCCATTCAATTAGAACAGAGGGAATGAAGGATTTCTATTGGGCCTTATTCTGGACTCCTCATGTTATTATTGTACCTTTAAGTCCAGTAACCAAATGATAGCAAACTCTAACATAGAGTTTCCTTGGCAATACAGTAGAGTCTCGCTTATCCAACAGAAATGGGCCAGCAGAACGTTGGATAAGCAAAAATGTTGGATAATAAGGAGGGATTAAGGAAAATTATGTTATGATTTTACAAATTAAGCACCAAAACATCATGTTTTATAAGAAATTGTCATTAAAAGCAATTCAATATACAGTAACGTTTTGTAGTAATTACTTTATTTACAAATTTAGCACCAAAATATTGCAATGTATTGAATCAGTTGTGGATCCAGGCGGGAGGCAGACTTCGTTGGATAATAGAGAACGTTGGATGAGCGAGACTCTACTGTAATTGTCTTAAATTGTTGTGCCCAAGATTAGAGACGTTACTCCAGGTGAGGTCTAACCAAACAAAATAGAATGGGACTCTTGCTTCCCTCGATATTGACCTCATGCTCCTAGAATCGCATTCACCTTTTTAGCTGCTGCATCACATTGTCAACTCATGTTCAGCTCATGATCTCCTAAGTCTCCTAGAACTGTTTTCAAGTCAGGTGTCACCTATCCTATATCTCTTTATTTTGCCTTGAATTGATGTTCGCTGTTCCTCCGCTTTGCAGGCACTGCCACGTGATGGATTACGAACCCGACATTTCCTCCTTCGAAAATTCAGCTCAGCTCATGAAGCTCTTGGCGGAGAATGTCTCCGTGAGCCAGGAATACTCCGACTTGCCCAAGAAGAATGGCTTGGTGCTGGATGGTCTCCCCGCTCCCCACAAGCCCCCCGCTTTGCCCCCGGGTCCCAGCAAGATGGAAGCCAATCCGGAGAGCTACATGATCCCCTCCAGCGACGTCTACGACAACGGCTCACTCCATTCCCTCTTTGATGCCATCCATGTGGCTCCTCCGCAGCAAAGATGGCAGCCGGACAGCACCTTCAAGGAGGACCCGCAGGAGGTTAGCTTCGAGTTCAAATTTAGAGGCTCAATTTGAGAGTTTAGTGAGTTTGGACTTTCAGTGGCTCTTTTGGAAGGGTTTCGAGGGCTTTGCCCTCCATAGAACCCCAAACACTACAGTCACCCCTCCAGATCTGGAGTGTTGTCTTTTACGGATTTGATTATTCATGGATTTTATTTAAAACGTTCTCTCTAGGAATCTTTAGGTCCTCCAATGCAATTCTAGGGTCAGCTTCCATTGGAAGTTGAACATTGAGTCCGGTTGGAAGACCTAGATATTCCTAGAGAAGACAAACACACACACACAATTTTTTTCACTCACAGTGGTCTTGTACCCCCTACTTTTGCAAATGTGGAGGGCTAACTGTATATCTTTTTCTTTCAAAAGTTGGTGAGAATTTCTACTTATTTATTTGATTCATAGTCAAGTTTCTTTCTCTCTGGCACAACGTCAATTACAAAACACTCTGAAAATGACATACTAGCATTAAATAAGGGAGCTACGAAAAGGATATTTAAGAATAGTGCAGTGCTTTGGGTGCTGGGCTAGGGGTGCATCTACACCAGGCATGGGCACACTTGGGGCCTCCAGGCGTTTTGGACTTCAACTCCCACAATTCCTAACAGTCTCAGGCCCTTTCCTTTTCCTCCTCAGCTGGTAGAGGGAAGGTCGAGCCATCCCTTCAGCATTGGGAGATGCAATCTTTCTCTATGACAGCGAACATGGCTTGGGAGGGTCACACGTAATTAATGCAATTGGTGCTGCTCCCATGTTCTGCCACAGAAGCCACATCCTACATAGAGATGAGCAGAGCCACCACGTTTTCCCTAAATGAATAGCTTTGGCAAGCCTTGGTTTCAGAGCCTCATTCTGTTGAGCTTGGTTTCCAGAATTTACTGGGATGTCTCCATGATGGGCCCCCATTGAGTCATTATTTGGATACACCACCCGCAACTCAACTCCCCCACAAAATGGAGGGTGTGTTGCATAGCCCCCTATGTAATGCCATTCACGTAGGTGTCATCTATACTGCTGAATGAATGCAGCTTGACCCCACTTTAAGTGCCATGGCTCAATGCTAAAGTCCTGGGATGTGTCGTTCAGTCAGTCCTCTTTGAAAGAAAAGGCTAAAGACCTTGCCAAACTACAACAGCATTGAGCTATAGCAGTCCAAGTTCTATGAGACTGCATTGATGCTACAGTATAGATCAGGCATCGGCAAACTTTGGCCCTCCAGGTATTTTGGACTTCAACTCCCACAATTCCTAAGCAGCTGAGTGGGAAAAGGAAGTAGCCTGAAGCTGTCTTTGTTCAGTAGATTCTCATTTTTTTTAAATAAGTAGTACTCCCTCCCTAAAGTGGACTCCCCCCCCCCATTAATTCTTTTATTCAATTAACACTTATTCTGGTTTTGTGCTTTGACAGTCCCTGATCTTCAATGACATCCTAAAGACCCAGCCAGAAGTGCCTTGCTCAGAAGGTTATTCCCTCAATGATGCTAAAAGGTAACTATATATGTCTTCTATATCACAGGCCAAGTCTTCATTGTCTCCCATCCAAGCGCTAACCAGAGCTGGCCCTGCTTAGCATCTGCAATCCAATGGGATCCAATGCCTTTAGGATATTTAGACCTCATTCTATGTAGAAATATAATTTACTCACTTGTGGTTCATAAAATCCTATGGCTTCATCCTATAGTTACCCTGGATTTGCTGTTTAATGAAGCACTAGGTCTCTCTGGATGAGGAACCAAAATGCCCCCTTTTAAACTCCAAATCCCAGGACTCCATGGATTACAAAGTAGAACCATGACACTATCATTGCATAGTCTGAATCAAATTTGATAGGTCGCAGAGAAATGCAATTGGAGCAAATGTATACATTGCCCTCATGATATCTAATCTGTTATGTTACTGTTAGGCAATCCCTCGTAGCCCGAGGATGATGGTCCTCCAAGTATAGTGTCTTGGCGGTGGGTCCTTAGGTGACTGAGGAGCTCTATTCTTGATATGCATGTCTCCCGCAGTGAGGACATTGATTTCCAAGTGGAAGGCAGTCCCGGTCAGGATTGACTTGATGCGCCTTCCTTTGGCACATTTCACCCTTCATTCGCACCTCTTCAAATTCCGCAGCACTGCTGGTCACAGCTGACCTCCAGTTAGGGCTCTCAAGGGCCAGGTATTCCAAGTTCTTGGTGTCTATACCACAGTTTTTAAGGTTGGCTTTAAACCCATCGTTAAATCTCTTTTCCTGTCCACCAACATTACGTTTCCCATTCTTGAGTTGGGAGTATAGTAACTGCTTTGGGAGACGGTGAGCAGGCATTCGGATAATGTGGTTAGTCCAGTGGAGTTGATGACGCAGGAGCATCACTTCAATGTTGGTGGTCTTTGCTTCTTCCAGCATGCTGACATTTGTTCACCTAACTTCCCAAGAGATTTGCAGGATTTTCCGGAGGCAACGCTGCTGGAATCGTTCCAGGAGTTGAGTGTGATGTCTGTAGGCAGTCCACATTTTGCAGGCTTTATGTGGGGTTGGGAAGACAATAGCTTTATAAACAAGTACCTTGGTATCTCTATGGATGTCCCAATCCTGAAACACTCTCTGCTTCATTTGGGAAAATGCTGCACTCGCAGAGCTCAGGCGGTGTTGTATTTCAGTGTCAATGTTGATTTTTGTGGAGAGGTGGCTGCTAAGATAGCAGAAATGGTCAACATTTTTAATGTTACACCATTAAGCTGTATTTGTGGCATTGCAGAGGGATTGGCTGGTGACTGCTGGAAGAGCACTTTGGTTTTCTCAATTAACAGTTAGATGTCCAATATCTAATCTAGATCCTTGATGATTATTTATATTCCTGAGCAAAACAGTATTTTTTGAATCTGACTTCCCTGTTTTCCTTGTGTTTTTCTAGTGACTTTGAATACACACTGGGATCTCCAAAAGCCATCCACATCAAGTCGGGGGAATCCCCCATGGCCTACCTCAATAAGGGACAGTTTTATCCGGTGACGCTGAAGACGATTGGCGATACCAAAGGTTTACATTTGTCCTCCAACAAAGTGAAGGTAAGTCAGTAAGCTTAATGGGTATTTCTTTTGGTTTTTGTTTGGGCAAATAAATTTGCAGATTAGCACAATGTTCAAGTTGATTGGAGTCTAATGTGGGCATCCCTGCTTTCTTCACAGAGTGTTGTGATGGTGGTTTTCGACAATGAAAAGATCCCCATGGAGCAGCTCAAGTTCTGGAAGCACTGGCACTCGCGGCAACCGACAGCCAAGCAGAGAGTCATCGATGTTGGTACGGAGTAGAGGCATTGCATGGTGTCTTCTGTAGGAAGAAAAGTGAAAGCTGGCACAGCAAATTATAATAGAATATAATAATTCTATATAAAATTATATAAGCATATAATAGAACCCTAAAGTTGGAGGAGACCCCCAAGGGCTATCCAATGAGACCCCATTCTGCCAAACAGGAAGATACAATCCAAGCCCTCCTAACAGATGGCCACCCAGCCTCTGTTTAAAGACCTCCAATGAAGGAGACTCCACCAGAGTCATCGACAGCATTTTTCAATATCAGACAGCTCTTGCCACCAGGAAGTTCTTCCTAATGTTTCAATGGAACAAGTTTGTAACTGCAGAAATCCTGGGCTCAGAAGAAGAAACACTAATGGGAAAAATGAATTACTCTTTTTCTTGAAAGAACATGAAGTGATCTGTCTGGATTTTGACCTTAGCATCAGGGAAGGAGCAGTGCTTCTTAGAGCCATGTTAGTGGGGCAGTTCATTCACTCCAGGTTTTAACACAGATCTTCATTGAGTTTTCCACGGTGCTGAATCCTAACCTATTAATGTGTTCAGTACCTTGGACAGTCATCTAAATCCTGGAGTGAACCCGCTGCCCTGTTAACATGGGAGATGATACTTGGACCCAATCTGAAATACTTCCGTTCTGGGCACTGTATTTTGAGAAATATAGAAAGAAGTTCAAGGAGGTTCAGAGAAGGAAGAGGCAGATGTTAAGAGGAGGTATGGAGAACAAAACGAACGAGGAGAGATTGGAGTTGGGAATGCTCAAGCCTGATGAAGAGAAGATTGTAGGGTAATGGGATTGCCCTCTTCAAACGCCCCAGAAATGAGGGCCCAAGTCTCATGGATTGACGTAACAGGAGAGTAGATTTTGATGGAACAATTGAAGGAATGTCTTGATAGGAATCACTGTTGGGCAATGAACCCAATTGCCTTGAGAGGTGATGGGTTCTCCTTCTCTGGAGATCTCCAGAAAGAGGCTGGGCTTCTCCAAAAGGATACTCTTTCTGGAGATTCTGCATTGAGCTAAGGGTTGGACTCTATAGCCCTTAAGGTCCTTTCTGACTCTAGGAGTTAAAGTGGTGTCGAACTGTGTTCTCCAGTATAGATGCACCTTAGAAGGGATTCCCAGTTGGCCTACTAGGGTGGGATCTTTTGAAGACAATAATAGCCCCTTCATTCAAGTTGTAACTGAGCTGCAAAAGAGTTAACTGACCTCACACCTCTGAGGATGCTTGCCATAGATGCAGGCGAAACGTCAGGAGAAATGCCTCTAGAACATGGCTCTATAGCCCGAAAAAACCCACAAGAACCTAGTTAACTGAATGTTTCCTTTCTCCCAGCTGACTGCAAAGAGAATTTCAATACTGTCCAGCACATTGAGGAGGTGGCTTACAACGCCTTGTCCTTTGTCTGGAACATTGCAGAAGAAGCAAAGGTAGGTGGTGGGAAAGGAGCCATGTCCTGTCCATCTCTATTGCAAACCGATATCTCTCTTATGCCATTCAAATTCTTACAGACTTCCCTCGAGAATGCAGGGCATTGTAGTGTGGCAAGGATGCTGCCCAGTCTGTGAACAATCCCTAATTTCCTATAAGGAGCTGCAGTTCCTAAGTTTTTTAGGGGGAATGAGAAAGAATATTGATGCTTATGCATTGTTCTCAGTGTATGCTGGAGAACATTTGAGTCCAGTATCAGTTCTTCATCTATCTTCCAAATTTGTTGAAATAGCAAGAAAAATGCTTTGTCATTTTTGTACAGTTAGCTCTCTGCTTGAGTTTAGGGGAGCAGGACCCCCATGAAAATGAAAAAAAAAAAGCATATACAAGAAACTCCTTTTTTGGTAATACCCAAGAGAAAACCTCTCAAGGAATCCCTAGGTTCTCCAGAACATATGTGTGGAGAATATGTATCAGACATTGAACATAGTATCATGCTGAAAGACCTACAAATAACTAGAGAACTTCACAAATCTCTGGGTCCTTCAGCATGGCTCTACGGTCAGTGTCTGCTGGAAGTTGCCATAATATCATAATGGAGGGCCTACAAAATGCATAGAGAAGTGGCCCCTCTAGGAGGATCTCTAGAATCTGCCAGCATGATCCTTTGGTCAATGTCTCACACAGTATCATGCTGGTAGAACTACAAATGTCCAGAGAAGTATCCTTCTTAGAAGGACCTCTAGGACCTTCCAGCATGATCGTATGGACAACTCCTGCCAAAAGCTGACCATAGTATAATGCTAGATGACCTATAAAAGCCTAGAAAGGACATGTTCCTCCAGCACAGCTCTACAGTCAACTTCTGCTGGACGCTGACCATAATATCATGTTCGAGGATCTATAAATGCCTAGAGAAGTATCCTCTCTCTCTAAGAAGACCTCTAGGATCTTTCAGGATGACTGTATGGTCAACTTCGACCCAAAGTTGGCCATAGTATCATGCTGAAGGACCTACAAATGCCCAGTTCCTTCTGACAAAAGGTGGCTATAGTATCATGCTGGAGGACCTAGTAATGCCTAGAGAGTATGTTCTCTTTGAAGACCTCTAAGTTTCTTCAGCATGACTCGATGGTTATCTTCTGCCAAAAGTTAACCATAGTATTATGATAAAGCCTACAAAAGCCTAGAGGTCCTCCTGGAAAGGATACTTCTCTATTGAGAACATCTAAGGCCTTTCAGCATAATTCTATGGTCAACTTCTGCTAGACTTCAGTGTTGTGCAAAAGGAGAACCCACCAACAACGAGCTCCCCCATCTCTCTCCTGCAGGTCTTTGTTGGAGTGAACTGCTTGAGCACGGACTTCTCCTCCCAGAAGGGAGTCAAGGGTGTCCCTCTGAACCTGCAGGTTGATACCTATGACTTCGGCACAGGGACTAACCGCCTGGTCCACCGGGCCATCTGCCAGATCAAGATATTCTGCGATAAGGTAGAGTCACACTTTTTGGCACGTTTTTCATCCGACTAAGACCAATGGCTTGAGCCTGGGAAATGACTCTTTGAGAAGCTTTGCAAAGACTGATCTGCTGGAGGAAGAGCCGGGCCTTAATGCAAGCTAAATATGCTCAGGCTTTGATTGTGCTTTTCCTGCACGGCAGGGGTTGGACTAGATAGCCCATGTGATCTCTTCCAACTCTATTATTATGTGATTCTAGGCTGTGGGAAAAGTTCAGCTTAGGACCCAAAGGAGAGTCTCCACTCAAAGGCCCCTCCTACACTGCATATAATGAAGTTGAACTGCATTATGGGGCAATGTAGACCCATATAATCCAGGTAAACTGCATTATATGGAAGTGCAGACGGGGCCAAAGGGACTACTAAATATACCTTTGGCCTTTAAGAGGACTTTAAGGTCAATTCTGTTTTGAACGGAACCCCTGAGAAAACGACTTTAGTCTCTTTTAATTTTATGTTTTCAAATGGGGTTAACCAGCAAATTTCGGGAATTGTGGGAACGGAAGTCCAAAACACCTGGAAGTCCGAAATTTGCCCATAGCTGTGTTAAGTGCTAATAGTTCAATACTATTTTAATGTCTGAGGGTTTGCACATTTCCCACTTTTGGGGTAAGGGTGGCAAGGTAAAAATAATGATGGGAATGATGATGACACAAATATGAAATAGTTTTTTTGTAGTTTATGCATTCAAATGTGTCTGTCTTTGCCTTAATTTAAAATGCTATTGTATGGTGTCACATCATTGTTAGCCACCTTGCAGGCCCGTAGCCAGGATTTCGGTTCGGGGGGGGGGGGGTGATTTTTTTCAGGGGGGGTTTCGGGGGGGGGGCTGAGTTTCGGGGGGGGCTGAGTCTGAGTGAAAGAGGGTCTACCCTAGCAAACCTTTTGTATCATTACCCCAATACCCCCATGCATATGGGATATATTGAGTATGGTGATCAGATCATGATATGAATAAACATAACAGTTTAAATAATGCCCAGTAAGGCCTTTTCGCGAACCACCATGAGAATTTCAGGGGGGGGTGAGCCCCCCACGCCCCCCCCCCCCCCCCGGCTACATGCCTGCCACCTTGAGTCCCCCTGGGGAGAAAGTCGGGATCAAAATAAAGTAGGTGGTGGGGATGATGATGGAGCTGAAGGCTTTTTCTCTCTCCTTTAGGGAGCAGAGAGGAAAATGCGGGATGACGAACGCAAACAGTTCAGGAGAAAAGGGAAATGTCTGGATGCCAACAATAATGGTGAGTAGAAAAGATGGAAAGATATCGACAAGTTTGGGGGGAAGGTTGTGAAATAGGATAAGAAATGCCACAAGGAGCAAAAGGCATTGACATATCGTCCAGCTTTCCTGATTCGACAAGGACGAATTAATTAATCCTGTGCTATTTTTCGAGCTGTTTTTCTGCATTCTTTGGCAGAGAAGGCAAAAAACCTTGTAAAACTACAACTCCCAGGACTGCATAGTAGTCATATGCATTCAGGGTAAACCTTGATTTGTTTCGTGTCCTGGCTTTTGATGGGGTTCTTGATCCATTTCGACTGAGTCTCCCGAAATCGGGAGGTCAGATATTTGTTTTTGGTGCTGAAAGATCCATTTTCTTTCAACCCATTATTTGGGAGGATTTCACCCATAGTCCCAAAGTGCCCAGGCCTAGGGGTGCAGGCTTTGGGCCTATGTGCCTGGTCCTTGCTTGGCACTCTGCGCTCGGCTTCAAGTTCTGTGAGGTCCGGGCGCGTAGACCCAAAGTGCCGGAGAGCGCTGAGAAAGGAGCGCTCCTTACTCAGTGCTTGGCTGCAGGTCCTGCCAGGCCCCAGTGCTTTGGACCTACACCTACATGTGCAGCAATCGATCCAAAAAAACAGGCTTGGAGCCGATACCCACTCCCGCCTGCCTTTCGTATCGAGTTTATTTTCGTTCCAGGAGCGGGCTTCCAGTTTTGTGCCATCCAAATGGATGGAGACAAATCTCAGACCCATGACTGCTCCATAGCCTTGAGCCAGGGCAGTTAAGGCATTGATTCTCCTGTGTAGATGTACCCTTAGAAATGGCTGTGGTCAGTTATTTTGAGCCACCAGTCAGTTTGCACCCGCTTCTTTCCATTCAAGAGCAATTGCAAGTCTGAACCAACCCGGCTCCAACCGGATCTAAAATTCTCTTTCAAAAAGGCACCTTCTTTACTCATATTTTTTTCCCCTCCTATTTATTTACCCATGGGTTTTATATACCCTGACATATGCCCCGCAGGGTACTTACGAAACAAGTCCATATTCAAAACAGAGCAAGCGGCATGTTAAATAAAAACACCAATAAAAAAACACAGAGAAGGGGCAATGGGATGGGGAGATAAAAATAGCAGTTCAAACCAGTCTTGGGAAACTCAGTGGTACCATTAAAAACCCAGATTTTGCCCCAGGTCTCAAAGATATCCAGGCAAATGTGTCTAGAAGCAAGAACCAAGGCTTTGGCAACACAAGATCCAGCAGAGCCTCATTTAGGGTCTCCCAAAACTACAAATCCCAGGACACCATAGTGGGGTCAAACTATATTAATTCTATAGTATGGATATACTGTCGAAGAGAAAGCAAACACCATATTCAGAGTGGAACTGCACTGGTCAGGATTTGTGTTAAAATGTTGGATATCTATTAGAGACATTAAGGTAATGTGTATTGTATTGTCGAAGGCTTTCATGGCCGGAATCACTGGGTTGTTCTGAGTTGTTCAGGCTGTATGGCCATGTTCCAGAAGCATTCTCTCCTGACGTTTGTCCTTAAACTGCTAGGCCATTAAATGCTAATCAAGGTGGCCAATTGAAACATTCACACCTACCTCAAACAGACCAGTTTTTTCTCCCACCCTGGACATTCCAACCCAATTTTCCTAGTTTCCAACAGACCTCACAACCTCTGAGGATGCCTGCCGTAGATGCAGGTGAAACATCAGGAGAGAATGCTTCTGGAACATGGCCATACAGTGTGAAAAACTCATCACAACCCATGTTGTGTATAGCTGGTGTGTAGTATGTGCAATATGGTAAAGGGGACGGGTAAAGAATGCTGGGAGCAGCTCGGGCATTGGCTAAGAACTTGAGTGGGAGCTGGATGATTGGTCAGTGGGAGATACGCAAGTTGGGCAGAGCTCAAAGTTGGTGTTAGTTCTAGTGGAATGAGATGAGATGATTGCATCTGCACTGTAGAATAATAGCACTTTAATGGCCATTGCTCAGTACTATGTAATCCTAGGATTTGTAGTTTGGTGAGGCTGCAATACTCTTTGGCCTGGAAGGTGATGGGCCTTGCAAAACTACAACTCCCAGGATTCCAGAGGATGCAAAACACCTCTCTGATCACGTCTACTCAACTCCCCCTAGGGTGTATTCACACTGTCCAATTAATGCAGTTTGGCACCATTTGAACTGCCATGGTTCAATAACATGGAGTTGTAACTTTATAAGGCCTTTAGCTTTGTCCGTCAATGAGTGCCTCATGAAACTACAACTCCCATAGCCTTGAGCCTTGGCTGCAAAACTGCATTACCTCTACAGTGTTGATGCATTCTTAGATTCAGAAAGATGAAGAGATGATCTTGAAGCAGAGACTGGATGGGTTGTTGTGAGTTTTCCGGGCTGCATGGTCATGTTCTAGAAAGATTCTGTCCTGATGTTTCACCTGCATCTATGGCAGGCATCCATAGAGACTGGAAGGCCATCTGTCGGGAAGTTTTTCATTGTGCTTTTCATGCATAGCAGAAGTAGGTTGGACTGGATGGCCTTTGGGGGTCTCTTCTAGCTCTACCATTCTAAGAGTTGATGTGACATGCTTGCGTCAAATAGATTTCCTAACTATTGATGCAGTCGGCCCTCTGTATCTACAGATTCCATATCCACGCATCCAACAGCTTGAAAATAAATGGGAAACAATCCAAAAAGCAAACCTTGATTTGGCCATTTTGTATAAAGGGCACCAGTTTACACCACCATTGTATATAATGGGACTTGGTTATTAAGAGGTTTCCTGGTTCCAAACCCCAGTGGATACCGAGGGGCCCCCTGAACCCCATATTTTCTCCATTTCTAGACACATGGCAGCTTTACAATCATTAAAATTCCCAGCATAGAAGATGAGGCGCCTGAGGGCTCCCAATTATCGAAGGCGCCTAGAAGTTATTATTAATAGTAATGAGGAGAAGGAGAGGCACATGCTGTGCTTGCGGCAACTGGAAGAAGCGTGGGACAGGAGGGGAGGCGGCAAGGAGGAAACGGGAAAACCTGAGGGCACATCCACACTGTAGAATTAATGCAGTTTGGCGCCACTTTGAGTGCAGTGGCTCCAAAAGGCATTGTAAAGCTGCAACGTCCCATGATTCCATTGCATCGTGCCAGGACAGTTCAAGTGGTATCAAACTGCATTACGTCTACAATGTAGATACATATGCTTCTGATTTAGGAGACCTCTGGGTTGTTGTAGGTTTTTCGGGCTATATGGCCATGTTCTAGAAGCATTCTCTCCTGACATTTTCCCTGCATCTATGGCAAGCATCCTCAGAGGTTGTGAGGTCTCTGAGGTTGCTTGCCATATATGCAGGCAAAACGTCAGGAGAGAATGCTTCTAGAACATGGCCATATAGCCCAAAAAACCTACAGCAACCCAGTGATTCCAGCCATGAAAGCCTTCGACAATACATTGAACCTAAAGTTGTCTAAAAACTGATTCGTAACCTTTTTGATACTAATGTTGGAGAGTGGTCCCTGGTCAAAGTGGTCCCTGGTCAATTGGTTCCTGTTCAAATGGTCCCTCATTAAAGTGGTCCCTGGTCAAATGGTCCCTGGTCAAAGTGGTCCCTGGTCAAAGTGGTCCTTGGTTGAAGTGGTCCCTGGTTGAAGTGGTCCCTGGTGGAAATGGTCCCTTGTCAAAGTGGTCCCTGATCAAGTGGTCCCTGGACAAAGTGGTCCCTGGTCTAAGTGGTCCCTGATCTAAGTGGTCCCTGGTCAAAATGGTCACTGATCAATTGCTTCCTGTTCAAGTGGTCCCTCGTTAAAATGGTCCCTGATCAAGTGGTCCCTGGTCAAAGTGGTCCTTGGTCAAAGTGGTCCCTGGTTGAAGTGGTCCTTTGTCAAAGTGGTCCCTGATCAAATGGTCACTGATCAAGTGGTCCCTGGTCAAGTAGTCCATGGTCAAAGTGGACCCTGGACAAAGTGGTCCCTGGTCAAGTGGTCCCTGATCTAAGTGATCTCTGATCTAAGTGGTCCCTGGTCAAAGTGGTCACTGATCAATTGCTTCCTGTTCAAGTGGTCCCTGGTTAAAGAGATCCCTGGTCAAAGTGTCCTTGGTCAAGTGGTCCCTGATCAAATGGTCCCTGGTCAAATGGTCCATGATCAAATGGTCCCTGGTCAAAGTCATCGCTTCCTGTTCAAGTGGTCCCTCGTTAAAATGGTCCCTGATCAAGTGGTCCCTGGTCAAAGTGGTCCTTGGTCAAAGTGGTCCCTGGTTGAAGTGGTCCTTTGTCAAAGTGGTCCCTGATCAAATGGTCACTGATCAAGTGGTCCCTGGTCAAGTAGTCCATGGTCAAAGTGGACCCTGGACAAAGTGGTCCCTGGTCAAGTGGTCCCTGATCTAAGTGATCTCTGATCTAAGTGGTCCCTGGTCAAAGTGGTCACTGATCAATTGCTTCCTGTTCAAGTGGTCCCTGGTTAAAGAGATCCCTGGTCAAAGTGTCCTTGGTCAAGTGGTCCCTGATCAAATGGTCCCTGGTCAAATGGTCCATGATCAAATGGTCCCTGGTCAAAGTGGTCACTGGTCAATTGATTCCTGTTCAAGTGGTCCCTGATCAAGTGGTCCCTGGCAAAGTGGTCTCTGGTCAAAAAAAGGTTGGGAACCACTGGTCTACACAGACCATAATGCAGTGTAGATCGGGCCTCAGCTGAAGTGGCAAGACATCATTGATCAACCCGTGATATTAGATCAGAGCCACACTTTTGCTCAATCCATTGGCAAGAAAGCACAGTGGGGAACTTTCCCTCTAATTCATTTTTATTCTGGCTTCCAGGTCTGAAAAGCTGCTTGGTGTCGGGCTTCCGAGGCAATGAAATCACATACCTCAAGCCTCAGGCCGATTTGGAGACACAGCCCGTCTTGTTCATTCCCAACGTCCATTTCTCAAACCTCCAGAGATGTGGAACCGTAAGTCCTCTTTTACAAATGCAAATGCAAGTTAAAGCAACAGATGGTGGTGTGTCTACAACAGACATGGGCAAACTTTCTAACTTGGGGGTCGCCTGCTAGCACTGCTAGGAGGATTGGCCCGGTGATGGAAGGAAGAAGGAAAGGAAGAAGAAAAGAGAAACAGAAGGAAAAATAAAAGGATGGAATGGAAAGATGGAAGGAGAAAGAAAGAGAAAGGGAAGGAGAGACAAAAGAGGGAAGGAAGGAAAGACAAAAGGGAAAGAAGAAAGAATAAAACGGTGGAAAGGAAGGATGGAAGGAAGGAAGGGAAGGAGGAAGGAAAAAGAGAAGGAAGGGATGAAGAGAAAGAAGGAAGGAATGAAGGAAGATAAAGGAAAGAGAGAAGGAAGAAGACAAAGGGAAGGAAGGAAGGAGAAGAGAAGGGGAAGGGAAGGAGGAAGAAAAGAGAGAAGGAAGGACAAAAGGGTGGAAGGGAAGGAGAAAGAGGGAGGAAAGGAAGGAAAGAAGAGGAAGGAAGAAGAATGGAAAGGATGGAAGGAAGAAAAGAGGAGAGAGGGAAGGAGGGAAAAGAGGGAAGGAAGGAAGACAAAAGGGAAGGAAGAAAGAATGAAACAGTGGAAGGGAAGGATAGAAGGAAGGGAAGGAGGAAGGATAAAGGAAGGAGAGAAGGAAAGAAAGACAAAAGGGAAGAATGGAAGGAAGGATAAAGAGGGAGAGAGGGAATGAAGAGGGAAAGAAAGACAAAAGGGTGGAAGGGAAGGATGGAAGGAGAAAGAGGGAAGGAAGGGTGGGAGATGAGCAGGAAGAAAAGAGGGAAGGAAGGACAAAAGGGTGGAAGGGGAGGAGAAAGAAGGAGGGAAGGAGGAAGGAAAGAGAGAAGGAAGGAATGATTGGATGGTGTGAGAGAAGAGGGCCCGAGAAAAGAGCACAAGGGGCCGCATCTGGCCCTCGGGCCTGGGTTTGCCATACCTGGTCTACACTGTACAATGAATGCAGTGTGATACCACTTGAACTGCCATGACTCAATCCTATGAGATCAAAAGAGTTGTAGTTTTACAAGCTCTTTAGCTTTCCCTGCCAAAGAGTGCAGGGTGTCTCACCACACTACATCTCCCAGGATCCCATAGCATTGAGCGACGGCAGTGAAAGTGGTTTCAAAGTGCATTAATTCTACAGTGTAGATGCACCCCCACTTTTCATTGGTGAAATTATGAAAGGTGGTGCTAGGAACGCCTTCTCCGTAAAACCCATAAGAGTTCTTTTGTTTACATCAATATAAAACCTGCCTTTTTCTGTATCGCTTTTTCACAGGCTTTACCTACGTCTGGAGCACCACATGACCCTAGCAGGTATGGAAACAAATGACATTTCTTTTCATATATTGAGATATTTCCAATATTCAGATTGCCTCCGTTGCTTCTAATCTGTAGACGTTATAGGTCTTGTGATGCTCTGATCTTTGCATGATCTGTTTTAACTATAGGAAAGCCACAGTGGGTGAATCTACACCAGGCATGGGCAAACGTTGGCCCTCCGGGTGTTTTGGACTCCAACTCCCACAATTCATAACAGCCTCAGTCCCCTTCCTTTTCACTTAAGCCCCAGGCTGTTAGGAATTGTGGGAGTTGAGGTCCAAAACACCCAGAGGACTGAAGTTTGCCCAGGCCTGATCAACACTGTTGAATTAATTCAATTTGGCACCACTTGACTGCCATGGCTCCATTGTTGTTGTTGTTCATTTGTTCAGTCGTTTCCAACTTTTCGTGACCTCATGGACCAGCCCATGCTAGAGCTCCCTGTCGGCCGTCACCACCCCCAGCTCCTTCAAGGTCAATCTTGGCTCCATACTTTGGAATATTGAGAGCTGTAGATTAGTGAGGTCCCAGTGCTCCTACGTCCAGGACCATGTCCAACTACAACTCCCATGGATATAATAATATATACATCTTTAGTTGTCATGAATTAGGTCCCATCTCTCTCTTTGCTTTGTCGTGATTGCACTTCTGTGCCAGGGATGGAAACATTTCTCAGAACCATTAAGCATGGCAGAGAAGGACGCCCTTTTCAGATTAGAAATATAGAGCATTTGTGATATCCTACTGACATCTACGATTTCCTCCTCCATAATCTTGGAGTTTCTAGTATGGAGAAGTACTTCGCATCTTCTAATTTACTCTTCTGAGCATGAGTACAGTATGGTGAACCCCAACCCCGTATCCACAGTCCTAGTGGATACATAGAAACACTGATAATAGCCAACCCTATTGAAATGAAAGAGCTCCGGCCCAAGGATACCCTGAGTTACACTGAAGGAGCTAGAAAACACATAGCGAGGACAATTGCGGATTCAGATGTCATACTGTATCTCATGAAACTACAAATCCCAGGAAGCCATAGGATGGAGCTGGTTAAAATGAAATCTAAGTGCCACACTGTAGAAAACTTTGTTTCTGGATAGTGGTGCTTGTAGTAGTCTCCTCTTATATTTCAGTTTTTTTCCCATCAGATTGCCTCTGAAGCGGAGCTGCTCTTCATTCACAGATGAGTTCAACCCCTTGGCTTCCAAAAAGGCAAAAAGCGAAGACCCGCAACGAGGTAGGATTTGATGCTTCCCTTCTTTCCCCGTCTTCATCGTAACCCGTTCTCACTTACCTTAAAGTCTGTAAGGTCGGTGCAGAGGAGGTTTGCCTTGGGCTTCCTCTGAGGCTGAGAGAGTGGGACCTGCCTAGCGTCTCCCAGGGGCTTTGAATGGGATTTGAACCCCAATCTTTCAGAATCCATAGGTGCCTCTACACTGTTGAATTAATATGGTTTGACAGCACTTTGACTATCTTGAGCCACTGCTATGGAATCCTAGAAGTTGTAGTTTGGGGAGGAACCAACACTCCTTGGAAAACGTTGACTCTCATGATTCCATAGCATTGAGCAACAGTGGTTAAAGTGGGGTTAAAACTGAATTAATTCGGACATGTAGATGCACCGCGGAGCCCCCAGAGGTGCAGCTGGTTAAACTGCTGAACTGCTGAACTTTCTGACCAAAAGGTCAGTAGGTCGATTCCGGGGAGCGGGGTGAGCTCCTCCTGTTAGTCCCTGCTTCTGCCAACCTAGCAGTTTGAAAACATGTAAATGTGAGTAGATCAATAGGTACTGTTTCAGCAGGAAGTTAATGGTGATCCATGCAGTCGTGCTGGTCACATGACTTTGAAGGTGACTATGAACAACGCCGGCCCTTCAGCTTTGAAATGGAGATAAGCACCACCCCCAGAGTCGGACACAACTAGACTTAATGTCAGGAGGAAACCTTTACCTTTACTAGATGCACCCCTCATCAAACATTGAAAACTCTATATCACACTGGGTTTTTAGTGGTATTATTATTATTATCATTATTATTATTATTATTATTATTATTATTAATCACTATTTATTACATTTGTATGCTGCCTTTCTCCCAGAATGAAACCAATAATAATAATAATAATAATAATAATAATAATAATAATAACAGCTAGCCCCAGCAGACAAAAGTCCTTTGTCCCACCCTGGTCATTCCACAGATATATAAACCCATTTTTCCTACTTCCAACAGACCTCACTACCTCTGAGGATGCTTGCCATAGATGCAGGCGGAACGTCAGGAGAAAAATTGCCTCCAGAACATGGCCATATAGCCCGGAAAAACCTACAACAACCCAATAATAATTGTATTTCTTGTCCCTCCTTGCGGCTCCCATTACTGTAGAATTAATGCAATTTGACCGCACTTTAACTATGGTTGAAGACAATGGGATTGCACTATGATGATGTTGTTTATAACACAACTGCCATGGCTCAATACCATGGGATCCTGGGAGTTGTAGTTTTACAAGGTCTTCCTCCTCTACGCTGTAGAATTAGTGCCATTTCACCCTGCTTGAACTGCCATGGCTCAATGCAACGGAGTCCTGGGAGTTATAGTTTGGCAAGTCCACCCAGCCCTCTTTGGCAGAGAAGGCTAGAAGCCTTGAGAAACTACAACTCCTGGGATTCCATTCCACTGCGCCATGACAGCTGAACTGCATTACTTCTTTTGTGAGGGTTCCCCTTAACTCTCGTGCTTGGAAAAGTCCCCAGCTTAGAAGTCCCAGGCCCAACTTTGATATTTGCTATCTTTTGTATCTTCCAGTCCTGCTCTATGTGAGAAGGGAGTCGGAGGAGGTGTTTGATGCCCTCATGCTGAAGACGCCTGACCTCAAAGGCCTGAGGAATGCGGTAAGGTTTTCCCCGGAGTTCATTTTGGCTTCGTAAAAATTTACGGCACTGACTTGGGAGGCATCAGCAAACACTTTCAGGGCTGGGGTGGGCCACTGGGAACTCTTTGGCTCTGACCCACTAGGTCTCCCACTCCACAGAGGCCATTTTACCTGATCTTGGGTGGCCCTGTTCTTTCCTTCCTTCCTTCCTTCCTTCCTTCCTTCCTTCCTTCCTTCCTTCCTTCCTTCCTTCCTTCCTTCCTTCCTTCCTTCCTTCGTCTGCCTATCTATCTATCATCTATCTATCTATCTATCTATCTATCTATCTTTCTTTCTTTCTTTCTTTCTTTCTTTCTTTCTTTCTTTCTTTCTTTCTATCTTTCTATCTATCTATCTATCTATCTATCTATCTATCTATCTACACACAGACACATACATGAGACTCTCAGTTGACCAGAACCCAAACAACCAGAACAATAAAAACTAAAATTAAACAATTTTTAGTGCAATGCAGGTTTGTCTTGATTTGTCTATATTTTCTTTTACTGGCTGTGTTCCAATGTTAATATTAGATCAGTACAAAGTTTATGGTGTACGACGGGATATAATAATTCTCAAGCAACTGGAAACTACATTTATCCAGTATCTAGCAATCCCTATGGATGCCGATGAACGGAGAGTCTACGGTATCTGTAGATATTATCTCTGTGTGTATATCTATATTTATATCTATCTATCAATTAATATATTAATTAATATAAGGCTTATCCCTCCCCAAAGCTGTTTTCAAGGAGCCCCCAGTGGCGCAATGGGTTAAAGCCTTGTGCCAGTAGGACTGCTGACTGAAAGGTCGACAGTTCGAATTTGAGGAGTGGGGTGAGCTCCTGTCTGTCAGCTCCAGCTTCCCTTGTGGGGACATAAGAGAATCCCCCCACCGGACGGTAACAGATCTGGGCATCCCTGGTCAATATCCTTGCAGACGGTCAATTTTCTCACACCAGAAGCAACTTGCAGTTTCTCAAGTTGCTCCTGACACACACAAAAAAGCTGTTTTCAAGGGGCCAGAACATGAGATTTCTATGCATTCATATTATACAATATTCTACTTCCTCTCTCTCTTTTATGATGGACCCAAACTCCCAACAGGTCTCCAAATGTGCATGGAGAGCAATGCTTGAGTGTGCATGATCCATAGCCAGCAAACTTTATAGCGTCAACTTTACAACAGGATTCAGGGTGCATCTACACTGGAGAGTTAATGCAGTTTGGCACCACTTGAACTGATAGCTCAATGCTATGGAACCCTTCCAGTTGTAGTTTGATGAGGCACCAGCCCTCTTTGGCAGAGAAGGCAAAAAACTGGGTTGTTGTAGGTTTTTTATGGCCATGTTCTAGAGGCATTCTCTCCTGACGTTTTGCCTGCATCTATGGCAAGCATCCTCAGAGGTAGTGAGGTCTGACCTTGTAGAATTACAACTCCTTGAGCCGTGGCAGTTCAAGTGGTGCCAAACTGCCTTCATTCTACAGTATAGATACACCCAAGGTTATTTTCTGGTGGTTCTACCCTCTTTCTGCCCACCTCATCTCCCTTTTCACCTTTCTCAATGTTTGGAGAGCACACAGTGCCGAAGCATGTTTCTCCGATGCCTATCAGCACTTTCTCTGATAACGGTTGGCTCTTCTTTGCTGAGAATCGAGCAAACAATCTCCTGGAATGATCTGGTCGCCTTTTTTTTTTTATGACTCCCTCGCTCTGTGTATTTTGTGTTAGTTTTGTACACTTTCAGGCTGGGAAAGAGCAAACAGCTCTTTGGAACTCGCCCCAAATTGATGGTTTCTAGATCCGCTTTCACCCCGTTCCTCTTGGCATTGTAAAGAAGGAGGACAAAAAGTGTCCAATGCAGGAATTAAACTTATTCCGGTCCTGGGAGCTGGCTAAGATCTTAAAGTCTTGTGCCACTTGGCAAAGAGTGTGTCTACACTAGGCTTGGGCAAACTTGGGCCTTCCAGGTGTTTTGTACTTCAACTCCCACAATTCCTAACAGCCTCAGGCCCTTTCCTTTTCCCCCTCAGCCGCTTAAGCGGCTGAGGGGGAAAAGGAAGGGGCCTGAGGCTGTTAGGAATTGTGGGAGTTGAAGTACAAAACACCTGGAAGGCCCAAGTTTGCCCATGCCTAATCTACACTGTAGAATTAACACAGTTTGACACTGCTTCAACTGCCATGGCTCAATGCAATATGGAATTCTGGGAGTTATAATTTGGGGAGGTACCTACCCTCTTTGACAGAGAAAACTAAAGAACCGTGTCAAACTAAAACTATATTGAACCCTGGTCGCCTGGCAAATTCAGGGCTCTGGCTTCCTTCACCGAGTCACCTTAATGTACGTCTGTTACTTTTGCACTATCTTTTCAGTAAAAGTGATACTGATTTAACCGACGGTTCTATTTTTCTCACCCAGATTTCGGAAAAATACGGTCTCCCTGAAGAAAGCATCTACAAAGTCTACAAGAAGTGCAAACGAGGGTAAGTGATGTCCTGCCCGTATAGATTCGTCTGGTTCTTTGCTGTCTGGCAAAACGTTGCTTCCTGAGATACAGTAGAGCAGGGGTCTTCAAACTGTTTAAACAGAGGGCCAGGTCACAGTCCCTCAAACAGTTGGAGGGCCGGATTATAATTTGAAAAAAACTTGAATGAATTCCTATACACACTGCACATATCTTATTTGTAATGCTAAAAACACTTAAAACAATACAATAATTAAAATGAAGAACAATTTTAACAAATATGAACTTATTAATATTTCAATGGGAAGTGTGAGCCTGCTTTTGGCTGATGAGATAGGATGGTTGTTGTTGTTGTTGTTGTTGTTGTTGTTGTTGTTGTTGTTGTTGCTGTTGTGTGCTTTCAAGTAATTTCAAACACTAAGGTTGACCCTGAGTGAGGGCCAGGTAAATGTCCTTGGAGGGCCGTATCCAGCCCCCGGGCCATAGTTTGGGGACCCCTGCAGTAGAGACTCGCTTATCCGACATAAATGGGCCGGCAGAACGTCGGATAAATGCAAATGTCGAATAATAAGGAGTCTCCTATTGTTACCCATCCGATGCAGTGCTAGACACAAGGGCGGCTCAACCCATTACACAAAGTAAGCATTCGCGGTATAGTTGATTTTGCCCATGGGCGCTCTTGAGGCACTCTTGGGGGAAAATAGACCTTGACATATGCGAGTTGTAGTTACTGGGATGTATAGTTCACCTACAATCAAAGAGCATTGATGGAATCAATCAAAGAGCATGATGGAATTGAACCAAATATGGCACACAGAACTCCCACGACAAACAGAAAATATATATCAATGATTGGTTTGGGTGGGGGGGGGGCACCAAAATGTTTGCTTACCGTTGAAAATTACCTAGGGCTGCCTCTGGCTAGACACCTAGAATACTAACAACAGGGACTCAAAAGGTTAAGGTAAGGCAATGCCTCAGGGCTAGAGAGGCCCAGCAGGAAGTGCCCGGATGAGGAAGAGGAGCATGGAAATCACAGAGGGAAGGAGGGAGGACGCTTCTGCTTCCGATCCTGCTTTTTTCGCCCATTTCCTCCCTCCTCCTCCTTAGAATCATAGAATCATAGAGTTGGAAGAGACCTCATGGGCCATCCAGTCCAACCCCCTGCCAAGAAGCAGGAATATTGCATTCAAAGCACCCCTGACAGATGGCCATCCAGCCTCTGCTTAAAAGCTTCCAAAGAAGGAGCCTCCACCACACCCCGGGGCAGAGAGTTCCACTGCTGAACAGTTCTCACAGTTAGGAAGTTCTTCCTCATGTTCAGATGGAATCTCCTGTCTTGTAGTTTGAAGCCATTGTTCAGCATCCTAGTCTCCAAGGAAGCAGAAAACAAGCTTGCTCTCTCCTCCCTGTGGCTTCCTCTCTCATATTTATACATGGCTATCATGTCTCCTCTCAGCCTTCTCTTCTTCGGGCTAAACATGCCCAGCTCCTTAAGCCGCTCCTCATAGGGCTTGTTCTCCAGACCCTTGATCATTTTAGTAGCCCTTCTCTGGACACATTCCAGCTTGTCAATATCTCTCTTCAATTGTGGTGCCCAGAATTGGGCACAATAGTCCAGGCGTGGTCTAACCTTGTTTTTTCTTTTTCACTTATTGGGAACTAACCGCCCCCTGCCACGCGTTGCTGTGGCCCAGTCTGTGTATATGTGTTTTGTGCGTATATATATTTGTGTATATGTGTTTTTATGTATATATGTGGTTATGCACATGCGTCGTAATGTATTTTTTGTTTTTTGGCTTTTGAAGTCACTTCCACTGTGTTTTTCAGTGTTTTTGTGAGTGGTGGTCACTCGTAGGCCTCATAGGTGTATTGTGTCCAAATTTGGTGTCAATTCGTCCAGTGGTTTTTGAGTTATGTTAATCCCACAGACATTACATTTTTATTTATATAGATGGAGAGAGAGTTGGGGAGCACTCCTTTAATTGAAGGGAAAATGCTGGAGGAAAAGGGGAATGCCAGATAAGAGTGTCAGATAAGACGGAATGTCGGATAAGCGAAGGTCGGATAAGCGAGACTCTACTGTAAATAAAAATATTTGTTTGCAATGTTCAATTTTAGAAAAGGCAGTCAAAGCTATGGCTTCTTTTTGGGTGTAATGGTATGATTCTCAATGAAAGGGCTCGAATATTTGCTTGGCCATGGAAACCCTGAGGCCTGAGTCTCAAAGTCTCAAAGGAAGGCAAAGACGAACTCTCTGTGAACAGATCTTGCCACAAAAACCCTCGATTAGGATCTCCATTAGTGATAAATGACTGGGAACAACAGCCAAAACTAACAGGAAGATAGGCTCGAAGAGTCAGTCGTTGAGAGACATTCCACATTTTGCATCAAAATATATACTGACCCAAATTCATGGCATCCGGTTGTTTCCATGTAGCTAGGTTGGGGAATCCATTCTAGGTTTTAATTCAAGCTTTGTAGGAACTCTCCAAGGTTCTGAACCCTTTTCCGAAGTAAGGTTTGGAAAGCTCATTTAATGCTCGCCAAAACTTGGCATGGTTTCACTGCTCCATTGATACACTGGAGCTCTCTCATGTCCCCAAATGTTTGGAGACATACCTCTCCACACTGAAATCTGACAAAATGCAGCATAAAGCACTACATATCTATTGACTGTCCTTACTATGCTGGAGTAGAAGGTAGCAGAGGTACAATGACCATCGATGGTGAGATGATGGGGAAAGGCAGGAAAAGCTGTCTCCTAAATTGCTCAGGAGCCAGCAAAACAGCTCTCTTCGGGACAAATTGTGCTGCCTTCCTTTGGCCATTCCATCCACTGCATTGAGCTTGCCCATTTGTAGCCATGGGAGTTGTAGTCCAACATTTGGGGTTCCATGATGGAGAAGCCTGGCTTGATGCAGTATTTAGGAAAAGCTAAGCAGAGCCAGGTCTGCTCTCAAAATACAAAACCACCCTGCAAAAAAAGGGACAGTTGTGGTCATTTGACAGGCCTTCGGTTCCCTCCAAGGCGTTCACCTGAGGTTGCAACAGATTTCGCTTATCATCTCCATCGGGACCTCAGTGTTTATTTCTCAAAGACAGCAGAATAACCTTTGGGTCAGTGGGCAGATGACACTGGAACAATGCAGTCCGGGGCAGAAGGCATAGGTTGGATCCCACCAGAGTCACAGATTTAGAGAGAAAGACAGTGTTTGGGAGGTTTTGATGGTATCATCCAAATTGCGGCGTCACCTCCTTGCCTTTAGTTGACTTTGCCGAAAGCCAGGGCAGTTCGCCTTATGAGATCTGACTGGGGGACATTTATCTATGTACTTATTTTCATGGAGCATAGAACCCAAATAACCAGGGTTTCTGTTGTTCTTGTTGCATTGATACCTTCATAGAAGGCTTCCTGGCAGCCTTTTCCTTTGTCGACTCCAATACGGACTATGGAAATTATGGTCAAACTCTCGACCATGTCTGCAACCTCTTGACAGTATTTGCTAAAGTTGGTATGGGGCGATATTTTAAAAGTTGAACTCAAGCCTTGCTCAGCCATGGAAGTCCACCAAGTGACTTTGGGCAAGTCACACTCTCTCAGCCTCATAGGAAGTCACGGGGAAAAACCTTATCCATAAACCTTGCCAGGAGAAGGCTGCCATAAGTGAGAGCAAACTTGAAGGCATTACATGACAAGGGTAATCTTGTTCCAAGCCAAGATAAAGGAAGGATATAAAAAAAGGATGGATGTATAGAAAGGGAGGGAGGGAGGATCGATACAACGATGGAAGAAAGGAAGGATGGATGGAAGGATGGATAGATGGATAAATTGATGGAAGGATGGAACGAAGGTTAGAGGGAAGGCTAGAAGGATGGATTGAAGGAGGGATCAAAGGAAGGAAGGCTAGAAGAAAGCTACAAGGAAGGATAGAAGGATGGACAGAAGAATAGAAGGAAGGAAAGATGGAAGGAAGGATCTGAGGAAGTATGGATAGGAACACAGAGGAAGGATGGTTGGAAGGAAGAAAGGAAGGAGGGAAGGAAGGAGGGAAGGATCGAAGGAAGATAAGAAGGAAGACTAGAAGGAAAGCTAGATGGATGGGTTGAAGGAAGGATCGAAGGAAGGGAGGCTAGAAGGAAAGCTASAAGGAAGGATAGAAGGATAGATGGACAGAAGAATAGAAGGAAAGAAAGATACATGGAAGGAAGGAAGGAAAGAAGGATCTGAGGAAAGATGGATAGAAGCCTGGAGGAAGGATGGATGGAAGGAAGGATTGAAGGAAGGAAGGATAGATGGACAGAAGAATAGAAGGAAYGAAAGATACATGGAAGGAAGGAAGGAAAGAAGGATCTGAGGAAYMATGGATAGWAYCARYGAGGAAGGATGGWTGGAAGGAAGGATTGAAGGAAGGAAGGATAGATGGACAGAAGAATAGAAGGAAGGAAAGATGGATGGAAGGAAGGAAGGATCTGAGGAAAGATGGATAGAAGCATGGAGGAAGGAWGGATMGAAGGAAGGATTGAAGGAAGGAAGGATAGAAGGAAGGGTGGACAGAAGAATAGAAGGAAGGAAAGATGGATGGAAGGAAGGAAAGAAGGATCTGAGGAAGGATTGATAGAAGCATGGAGGAAGGATGGATGGAAGGAAGGAAGGATAGAAGGAACGGTGGAAGAAAGGAGAAGGTGCAAAATAAAAATGTGAAAGTAAAAGTTTTTAATGTTTTTTAAGCTGCCTAGTTTCCAAAGTAATGTCAAACATACATGATTATCAGTCTCCAGTAACAGAGGGTTGGGCAAATGGGAATGCATGCCATTTTCTGTAGAAACCCTTTCCTAACCTTCTTGCCCACATTTTTGCCCCAAGGCTAATAACTGAGCAGCTTCCCTGCTGGTACATAAGGGGCTTTTGCATTCCTCCTGGCTATTTGAGTCTGAGGACACACAAAAGGAATGGATCAGGGGGCGGACGCTGGACTGCTGCTAATCTCTTCTCTCTTCCAGCCGGCATTTTAGACA